CAGAGGAGGGGGCGGTCCGGTCACCTGGCAGAGGTGGCACCGGGCATCCCCTCCATGGCCCCTCGAGCTGCCGGACCAGGCCCTGCAGACATCCCAGCGCCGGGAAGCGCGAGTGAGGCGAGGAGAGAATCAGCGCGGCCCTTAAACACCCGAGGGCTCTGAACCGGAGTCCTCCGACCATGACATGAACTTGGGGTCCTGTGAGAAGGTGAGGCTGGGCCCCATAAATTGTCCTGTGGGTCTTTTCTTGAGCTCAGGAGCATCTGACCAGGAACAACCTCATGCTTCCTTTTTGAAAGTCCCCTTTCTGGTCCTCCAGGACTCAGGCTCCTAGAAGCGCCTCGGCCCTCGGTCTGCCCCAGCCGGGGGTTAAGATGCGGCTTCTGTTGGCCCACAGAGGGTCTGGGGAGAATGAGTCGGCCCAGCAAACCGCACGCGGAAAGGACTAATTGGTCCCCAAGTGGAGGCCGATGGCTGCTCTCAGGATCTTGACTTTGAAGATATTTATTCAAGACAAACATTGGCGGCCGCTGTTCAGGCTCCGAGTCCTCTTGACCCCGCGGCCTCCCTCCGCGGGCTCTCTCTCTCTCTCTCTCTCTCTCTCTCCCTGGGGGGATGGCAACTCGAGGCCTATATTTATTCTCCAGAGTCTCGGAGCGGTCACGGACGGTTTAAAAATTAACCCAGCCCAGACCCTCAGCGCACACCCCAGCCAGCCGCCCAGCAGCCAGGATGCAGGGCCCAGGCACCATGGCAACCAGGTCTGGGCTCCCCCACCCCCCAGCCCTGGGGGCACTTCTGCTCTCTGTACATAGAAGCGACCCGCGTGAGTGGCAGGGGATTTCGGCTGCATGATGTCACCCATGTCACAGGGACGCTGTCCCTCTACATTCACGGGGTCCCGGGGGCCCCGAAGGCAGTGCAGGCTCTCCGGCCTCACCTGTGCTGAGCAGAAAGAGACGCGGGGCCACAACACGGGATCGTTCCCAGTGAAGTGACATGACTCCCTTCTTCCTGCCGCGTGGAGAACACGTCCCATAGCACCGTGGTTCTCAACCTTCCCAATGCTGTGACCCTTTAATACAGCTCCTCATGTTGTGGTGACCCCCAATGTCATTGTTACAAATTGAACACAATTAAAGCATAGTGATTAATCACAAAAACAATATGTAATTACATATGTGTTTTCTGATGGTCTTAGGCAACCCCTGTGAAAGGGTTGTTCGACCCCCAAAGGGGTCGCGACCCACAGGTTGAGAACCGTTGCATAGCAGATCAGGGC